AACACAGGCCTACACAAATAAGTTCATAAATATCTCATAGTATATTTAGACACTTTTAAGCCATTCTCTTATCGATGTATCCACGGTTTTGGTCTTGAAAATATGCTGTATGAAGTGATTTACCAAATCATGCAAATTATCACAGAACATTGCTTTAAACCAAATATATAAATTGTTTGTGTAGCCACAAAAGAGATTAGAACAGAAATGAAAATATACACGGATAAGAAGACGTCTTAAAGTTATTGTGGAGGATTTGCGCAAATTTTCTAAAAGACACGCCCTCTCCACTTAAAAAAAGCACATGTACAGCCCTGTGCCCGCTCCCAGGAAGGTACACCTATTAACGCTTGCAAGAGCATGCACAAGCCCATTTCTCCTAGTGCACGCTCTGTTTGAACGTTGCTGTTGCTGATAGCAAAACTATCGCATTCTGTTTGCCTTAGACAAGTTTTCTCAACTATATAAATACATTCTGAAGCACCGCAAGTAATTAAAAGTTCATAAAATGTGTTTGTTCCAGATAGTAGATGGCTCCCCTATTTGCCAATGGAACTAAAGCTCATGCATTTGAATGACTGCATAAGCAAGGTCAAAATAACCTCACAGAATTTGTGGTGATGGCATGGAAGGGTTTACAAGATGAAACAAGTGAGACAGAGAGTAAGAGAGAGTGTATGGCAAGCCCTTTCTTCGTCTCCACGAATTTTTTTAATGCCATCTTAGAATCCTCCCACTGTGCAGCCTTTGTCCCAGTCATTATCGCGGGATTTGATAGCTGCTCTGCCATGTGAGAGGCTTTGGTGACATATGTCACTTCAGTGAGTTTCCTGTCGCTTCTTCAGCGGCTCAAGTGGAGCGGTGGGGAGTGAGGCGTGTCTGTGCAGCAGGAGGAGTGTGTGTTTAGGGTTGAAAGAGGAAGGACATGTCAGAGATGTTTGTTCAAACAGACATAGACAGAGAGAGAGACGCAGAGAGTTGTTTGTGTGAACTTCTGTTTTTCTACTTTTTTATGGACTTGTGAGTTTGTCTCAGGATACTGGCAAAATTAGAGGATATAAAATGACTCAAAAACTGTGAGTATGGGTTACTTTAGAGAACTTTGATTTTTTTCTGTGGAAAATGCTTTGATAATTTGAGAGAATGAAGAGCTTTTCTTTGCACAAATGAGATTTTAGTTTATTTAAGAGGGGATCAAAGGAGTAGTGGGGGTGTCACTGTGTACAGCATGTGTTTGCCTGGATTAGTCATGTAGTAGTGACACTCCTCATGCCTTTGGCCGACTAATGGCTTAGGTAATACAATCCCTGCAGATTTGTGACTGTGACCTGCCATGTGTTCAGGTAATGGATCCCTTACTTTACTTCCAAAAAGCAAATGCTTTGTTATGTGTGCACTTAGGAACCCCATGCCACTTTGAAATCCATGGATTTTTATTTTTTTTATTATTGGTGTCAGGTTTGTTTGGCTAAAAACTGAAGAGACTGGTTTGCAATGCTAACAAAGCCTGGTAATTTGCCTTGGGGTGTGCAGCAGTAAACCACAGGATTTGCTGCACATACATAAAAACAGTTGTTGCTATGTTTTAAGGATAAGCAGAAATCTTGATAAAAGAACACACTGTCACATACAGACTATAGGCTTACCAACTGGTAAGGCTTTTCAAATTCTTTCTGATCTAATGTATTTGTTTGATTTAATCTATATCCACTGCCTCTGAAATTTCCTTCAAGAGTTTAAGATTCCCTAGGAAGCAACATCAGTCCATTGTGTAGGAGGAGGAGTTTCTATAAAACTTCAAATTATTTATTTATGCATTATACCCGAGAAAACTTATGTACATTATAAACTATTAATGGTATACAAATGAGGACAAGCAAGGTAGTGCTGTAAACTGTGGAATCTCTTACCTTAACTCTTAGGTTTCTGGAAGGTTTGCCAACCTCCAAATCCAGGATGTTCCTTGATACTGCAGCCTGGACAGTCAGAAGGATAAAAAAAAAAGAATATCACTGTGGAAGTTTGTTAAGTCTTCTTATTATTTGTTTTAACTTTTGCTGCCTCTCGCTCTTTTGCAGCATGAATAAATCAAATACATTTTTGCGACATGTCGTAAAATAAATGTTTCCTAAATTGGTAAATGGATATTTTCGAGTTAGTGAGCTATTTTTGGGGAATAATATTTCACTCCAACCTGAAAACACATGTAATATGTTGCCTTCTCAATGTTGCCCAGAAAAATCTTAAAACCACATTTTCACATTTTTTGTTCTAATATCCCCCTGATCATCGCAGAAGTGTCCAACATGCAGGCCCTAAATTCAATGCAAGCATGATACAGATTTGGCCTGCCAGCACTTGTGGTAAAATACAAATGTAATTTAATTTAAATTAAAAAACAAACAAACTATGTAGTAAACATTTTTTATGGCAAATTAAACTCTTAAAATTGAAAAAAATTAATTATATAATAAAAAATTAGTGTTTCATTAATATGTACTACTACTACTTTTGATTTTTGTTTAATTGTATGGTTAAAATGATCATAAATATCCAGTGACTTTCAATCTACAGTAAATTTTGGTGAATCTGGTTCATTAAAAGTGGTTCACTTCATTAAAATTGGTTAAATATGGAAATCATTTTTTTAAAGAAAGGGTAAAAAAGGGCCTATTTTTCTGTTGTGAAATTAGAGAAATAAAATGACTTTCAAAAAGAGGACCCCCAACATATAATGCTTTCAAAAGATTGCATACATTTCCACTGATTTAGCAAATATGAAAAACCCTTTTATATGTTTTAGATCTATAAGAAGTAACTAATCTCTACTTTGTTCATTTCATGTTTAGTTCATGTGGAAGATAAAACACAAAGGTTTATATTAGAAATGTTTTGCATCAAAACTGTAAAAAACTAAATCAACCCAAAAAACCCCAGCAAATACTGTATGCATCATCCCAGTAGGTGTAAGATATTTTATTTTATTTGTTTTTTATTTCCTTAACTACTAAGACCAGTCAGTTTCCAACCACCATTCTGTTCCCCAGACCCCTCCAAGAGATCACATTCTTTTTAAATAACATAATAATAACATGATATCTATGGATCATTATCCTCATTGCCTACCACTTAGCTCTAAGGCAGAATACCTTTTGCTTGTGATGATATTCAACAGACACAAAGAAATATTTCACTCATTCACAAATTTTGCATATTTCTATATGTTTAAAAGGACCAATCAAGAGGGGAGGTAGTAATATTAGTGTTAAATGAAGTTAAACACAGAATAAGATTAGTTTTTAAATCACATAAGATAATCCCAAAGCCCCTAATGAAAATAATGCCAAATCTCTTAATTTGTTTTAATTGATACTAAATATAAGGAGCTTAATCCCAAATCTAGTCCAAAACAGTTGTGTCGTCTGGAGAGCTCAAAGTGGATCTTAGCTGTTCTGCAGCATTATAATGTATGACGGCTGGAGGTCCCTGCCTTTATTCTCCTGATAGTGGGATTAGCTACACGGTGAACCCATTTGGCTCAGGCATTTCTGCCACCACAGTCTCAGCACTGTGAGTACTAAGCTGTGAAACACTGACTGACTTAGTCCAATTTATTGACTGCCATTTTGGATCTTGATTGTAGCAGACAACAGCTTAGCCTTTGGGTCATATGGGTTTAGAGTAAACATGGGACGGAATGCCACCAGCCAGCTTTACAGGTCAAACCGTTATTTCATATAATGTTATCTCTTATGTTCTCTGCAGTCTCAAAACAATTGACAGGTTGCCTTGCATTGTTTTTAGACGCCTTTTAAAATCCCTTTAGGGCTGAAACAATTAATCCGATTAACCGATTATTGAAATTACCGTCAACTATTTTAGCAATCAACTAATCGTTAAATGGAGTATAGAGACTGTAAAACATACAATTAGCTGACTCCGCCAGCTAATTGTAAAACAATTAGCTGGCGGAGTAAGCCACTTAGAGTAGTAATTATATCAGAGTTTGAAAAAAATATGTAAACATTTTGCATTTAAAATGAAAAAAATATTTTTTATCTGTCAGTATGTTCAATCCAGAACTCCTCAAGTGGAAATATAGTTCAGCTGGTTTAATTTAATAAAAATCTTCTTTGAGGAACCTTTGGTTGTCTGATTATTAATCGATTAACCGAAAAAATAATCGACAGAATAAACCATTTGCAAAATAATCATTAGTTGCAGCTCTAAACCTCATTAAATTAGTTTTGATCAATATATATTCTAATAAGTGCAGAAATTGAGCAAATGGGTAAAATTACACGATACAGATTTTACTTATTTAAACCTTGTAAATTCACCCACTAGTTCTTTTCAGTGTTGTTCTTCAGTGAGAGATCATTAACTTCCAATTTAAAAATCTTATTTGCTGTTATTTTCAGAAGGTAATTTTAATCTGAATAACTAGCCTTGTCAGAGGGAATATTTTAATTTTTGAAACATGACTGTAGGAACAAAATGCAGACTATTAAGAAGGAAGTAAGGACACACTCAATTCTAATGGCTAGTATTACCAACTTTAGATTAAATAGCTTTAGTTATAAGCTATCTACTATCTAGCAGTGGCTACCTCCAGTCTGGGGAAAGTTTGCTTCTCCTCCATTTTTGGCTGTGAAATATTTAGGGGGTTCTTGCATGTACAATCTGGTTAGCCTGGTAAGTCATCTTCTATTGGTGGGCAGTAAGCACTGCTTCATTTCTTACTTTATAAATAAGAGTCTTAATCATGGCAGCTACCATCTCTATGCAGTCAAAAAGGCTTCAACCTTAAAGCACTTACCTCAGAGAAAAGCGCCTCATTAACTTTGATGACGCATACAGTATGTTTATGTTTTGACGTTCAAAGAAAAGATCCCATCATACCCAAAGAAAACAAGTATTGCACACTGATCAGTGAAGATAATCTGATTCTTTTCCTTGTTAAACATACAATCTCTACTTTCCTGTCTTCTCCTTTGCAGTTTTGCTGTGCCTGACGACTAAAACAACAGCTGATGTGCATCATTTTCCAGATTGTCTTCAATAATCATTCAAGTGTGATGCGGTGGGCAAGCAGCCTGCTCCTAGTTTTGGTTTGGGCCTTTACATCCCGGGTCAAAGGCTTTAATATTCCTTTACAAGGTAGGACTGTCGCAAATTTCTATTACAGTATTACTGTATGTAATGTTGAATTAAAACTCTTCGATGAAATGGAAGATTTCTCTTTTAGGTCAAAACATATCTGTTTATCTCTCTTGAGCAGGAATGTTAACTGCTCTTAAAATGCTTAGCAAACAATGTGAACCTTGAGGTAAATTGTTTATGTGGCAAAGGTTGAAGGCTTGTTTAAAGCAAGGAATGCATGGCAATCAAGCTTTCATGTGCCATTTCAGGTCACTCTATTTAAGGCAGATGTTTGCTCAGATTATACGGTGGTATTTAGTCAGCTTCACAGAAGGAAAACACTGAAAATAAAGAAAGAGAAAATGTTAACAATTATTGAATATATTTTAAGTTGAAGGCTTACTTTCTTTTACTTTTCTAACATTTCTCTTTGTGTTCCCTTACTGAAGTGGAGCAGCCTCCAACTTTAATAAGCCACACAACAGGTCCCATTGTTGCACTTCCTTTTGACAACACACTTACAATTAGCTGTAAGGCCAGGGGTAACCCACCACCACAGTAAGTACTAAATCAGATAAACTATTTTTGAAAAAAAAAAAAAACCCTGACAAAGACTTGGTCCATATTTTCCTCCGACAGATACAGATGGACAAAGGATGGCCGAGAGCTAAACCTGCCAAATATCCCCACAGTCAAAACCGACAACAGAAATGGGACATTTATGTTTCACCAAAAGCATTTTGCCCAGTTCAGGGGTAAATACAGATGCTTTGCTTTCAACAAGCTGGGGGCTGCCATGACAGAGGAGATAGAGATCCTAGTTTCCAGTAAGTAAAGGCCACATGCAAATATAAGATCAGTGAAAGATTCTTATGATCATCATGAAATGCAACAATTGTTTTCACCAGCTATACCCAAGTTTCCAAAGGAAACATTGGATACTATTGTCATTAAGGAGGGAGAACCATTTTCTCTGACATGTAATCCTCCAGAGGGTGTGGGCCCACGTCAGATCTATTGGATGACTGCTGGTAAGCCATCATGCAACTGTTTATCTCTGCAATTTATAGATTTCTTAATTTTGTATTGATGCTTGTGTGGAGGGATGTGTGGGAGTCAAATTTCCTTTATTAACAAGAAGCCGCTGCTTAAGATATTGTACTTCAGGATTTAATTAAGTAAAGGTTTGTTTGACATGTATTCTGAAGATATCCATAGTTATTAAAATCTTTTTTCAGGTTTTATGATGTTATAATCATAAAACTGAATGTTCATTCTTGCTATTTTAAATAATAGACATCAAGTGCAGCATAATTTTCAACTGTTCTGTAGATTATTGTTCACCTCCCCTGTGGGTTTGGGAGATGTTTTACAACCATGTTATCCTTTTGTCATGATCAGGACTCTGATAGCTTACCTAATTGCTCATTTCACTCACCCGCCTTACTCTTCCCAGTTACCAATTATCACTCATCTCATCCACCTGCTCCTGCTGCTTTATATATGGCTCAGTCCCAGCTATCGGGGCCAGATCATTGTTTTTGAGTTTGTGTTGCTGACTTACAGATCACTGTTGCTGAGTTTATTTCTGAGTTTTGTCTTGGAGTTTGTATTGCTGAGTTTAACTTCAATGTTCTGGAAGGCTAGTGTGGAGAGAGGTTTTTAGTACTGTCTTAGTGTTCCTGATCTTATCCTGGCTCTGATCCACTGAGTGTACCCTGTTCCTGTTTTGGCTCAGTGGAGTGAGCTAGTTTTAAAGTACTGTAGTATTCCGGTTATACTGCCTTGTTCTGTCTCTCAACTACTGAGCTTTCCTCTTCCCATCTGAACTTTCTGCCTGAACTATCTGTTGGATTCTTATAACCTGAACCTGCCTGAACTCTCTGTGGATTCCTGGGACCCTGGACCTGCCACTTCCTGTTTTGATCGGAACCCCTTACTTGGCAATGGACTCCTGGATCTCTGAGCCTTCCTGTTCTGAACTGTTTCCCTGACCTGGCTCGGATTCATGCATGTTCAGTGGGGCTGCAGCATCTGGTTTCACTCTGGGCAGCTCCTGCCACATCTTGTTGGCATATGCTGGTGTAGATTCTCAGTCATCCAGGTCATAGTCATTCTGGAAAAAAAAGAAAATTAAAAACCATCCATTGGACTTTGTTTCCAAGTTTGAAGATGTTTCGCTTCCCACACTGGAAGCTTTTTCAAAACAAAAACAAGGTTTTGATGGGCTACTGTATAAAACCTCGAACTCAACGCTATTTCTGACATTTTGAATTGAAGAAGCTTCATTGATGGGAAGTGAAACGTCTTCAAACTTGGAAACAAAGTGCAATATTGGAATCTTGTAGTCAGTCAGCAATCCGCTGGATCCTGCCTCGCTCTGAGAGGATGGACTGAACTTTTAAACCAGAGTTGCCACTGATAAGTGGTGCCCCGCCTCCCCCCACAGCCGCTACAGATCCAGAGTACCGTGTTCTGATTTTAATAAACCTTTTGAAACTTCCCAATCGAATATTGGGCTCTACGTTCTGAGCATTTTTTTTGTCTACCTGCTTTGCTCTGGAGACTAAAAATATAGCTTTCCAAATTTAGCTCAAACTAAATCAGATTGGATGGAAATAGTCTGTAAACAGCAATTTTCATGGAATGTCATTTTTTTAGGTCATTAGTTTGGCACAACTCTGCTGAAGAAAAATCTTCCCATAGCATGATGCTGCATCTACCATCTACTGTCTTATTGTGGGGATGCTGTGTTCAGGGTGATGTGCAATGTCAGTTTTCCACTATTAGACTTTATTCATGGCTATCAAGACAGATGGGTTTAAGTAGATGCAACCCCTTTTATTTTTCTGTATCAAGTTTGGGGTTGGAACATGACCAAGCAAACATGATAGTGGAGAATTGATATAAAAATTGGATTAGCATATATGAAAAAGTTTTGTCAAGTATGTTGTTTGGTAATGTACTATTTGGTCATAACCAAATAGCTTTTGTGCGTTTTTCTAAAATAGATTTTTTATATTTCATAAAGATTTTTATCATTTAATGCAAGGGTTAAAGTTGGATTGCTGTAATACTGTGAAACATGTCTGCCTCAACAAATATGAGTTGGTGCATGTGCAGAAGATTCATACCTGTTGAGAGAGAAAAAAAAAAGATGTGACAGGAATGTCCTGACCAAAATTTTAAACTCCATACTGGAAAAAGTTTGTGATACTCAGTACTGTAATAAAGCAATATTTAATTTTTTTAAGGAACAGCACAATTCATCTGTAAATAGCAAAAAACAAAATGAGGAAGAGGCGAAACTGTTTTAACATTTTAAATTGGTTTTGTCCTAAAATAGGGCTAAACCAATAAGTAGGTGGCAATTCTGTCTTTAGTATATACTCCAAAAATGTCTCTTCTCTGGCTGACAAAACCATAGTGAGGTAAAATGTACCGGTACACTTGATTTAGTTGTGCAGTTATTTTATTTAGCTAAAATATCTAATGGTCAATGTGCTTTCATCTTACTGTTAATTCAATGCTGACAGAAATATGTTTTACAGTATAAATACAGAAAAAAAAATCTGTAGTACAAAGAAATCTGTGCTCTTAAAACATGTATAAAAATTGCACATAAAAGCATATTTTCTATAGTGATCACTTACTTCAATATGGTGGGTAGCCTTAGGTTTCTAATTATTTTTTCAACTCTTCTTTTTAACCTCAATACAGCTTCACTACATGTTCTAAGAGCCACATCAGCTTACATTACCTTAACAAGTAAACAAAGGAGTCACGGAAGGGGAACACTGCTTTGTTTAGTTTAAGTATATTTATAAAAAGGCTGAGCAGTTTGCTGATAAACATTTTCCTGGATTAATATTTACTGCAGTTGAATGGAGAGATGCATGATTAGAGTGGAGTAGTTTGGGATTCTGAACTGTACATCTGGGAAGCACATCTCAATAGTCTCCATGAGGCTCATATTTGAGCAGATGGCATTAGCGTATTTTTATAATAAAGGTTTATTACTTCAATGTTGCAGATACAAGACTTTTTCTGCTCTACTTAATTTGTTCAAACATCAATGTCATATGTTTCAGGGTCTGCTCAGCTAGTGTGTGGCATTCTTGATCTTTTTCTCTGTCTGTCTGCCTAGGAAGATACCTTCAGACAATGCTCTTTTGTTTGCCCTGTTTGGTAAAGAGGGTCAAATGTAGTGTCTGTTTCTGGAGGTACTCAACCTGTTAACAAGGATTAAATCTTGATTTTGATCAAGTAAACTCCAGGTAGAGGGGGTTAGTTTCTGGTAATATCTTTGAAAAATTGCTCTGTCTACTATTAAGCATTAAAATTAAAACTTTTTACTTTTGAATCAGCTGTGATCAATTACTCCACAGTATAAAACTTAAAAAAAATAAGATCAGTAAAGCTTATTTATCAGTGTTTGCAGACATTTCTGTAGCATAGTGTAAGCCTCTAATGTTTTATACAGCGTTGGGGTATTAGTGATCAAAGCACCAAGGAAACAAGTTTGACAACAGTGCAGCAACATGATGGTTTCCCTGTTCTACTGTATTTGTAGGGCAAATGTGATTCTTCAAGACTAGAGACCTAATTTGCATTGTATCCCTTTTAAACCGGATGCAAAACATGAACGCCTTCTCCTTTCAAGGCGGATGCAACATGAAACTATCCATATTTTCTTAGTGAATTAGAGTTACATAGCAAATAAGTGTTTTATTTTGAAACTAAACGACTTAAGCTTTAATGGTGGAATGCTAATCCAGTTAAGAATGCAATTTTTTTTTTCTGATAACATAAATCAAATAACATAAAAAACCCTGCAGCAGCTTTATAAAACTGTTTTTTTTTTTTTGCTTCATTAAAATTTGTTTTTAAATAATGTTAATGAAAAAATACATAAATAAGCCCCCACCTCAGTTACTCCAAAGATGCGTTAAAAACAAACTAACGAGCAAAGCTAATATTAGAAGGGTTTTAAAAAACTAAATAATTACATGGTTTATGTGCTGTACCTACTGTAAAAACCCCATGAGTTACTGCAACATGTAATTTTCCTTTGGGATTAATAAAGTATTCTTGAATTTGCAGTTTGCATACTATGTGTTTACATGTATGGAATAAATTCACATTCACAACTTTTCAGCTCTAGGATCAAAATTTCAGTAGAGCAGATAAGTTGTATTATTACTCATTATGGTCAAACACTTCAATGGTAGTTTAATCAGAGAAAAGAATATATCCAGAAACAAATGTTGTGCTTGAGTGTATTTCCAATGTATGATCTGGTTTTTAGTATTGCACCCTTCAATCAGCATGATACATGAACGTTCCCATACTTTTTATATTTCAAAAGTATGTAGTAGCAGCTTTGGGAAGAGGAAACTGTACACTTTTTCCTAATATGACCAAATATTTTGAATGATTTATTTTGAACTTACATTATGTCACACAAGAAAAAAATGTTGAATGGTGCTTTAACCTATTTGATTTCCAAACAAAGGCACGATCAGGTGGTATATCTAAACCACCAACATCATCAAAATGTATGGGTCTTTAGCACATGCACAGCACACAAATGGCTCCAGCTGCTTGATACATTTGTACAATTTAAAAGAAAGAAAAACTATAGTCTTGATATAAAGAATATAGAACTGAGAGTACATAGAGCTGCGTTGTGCAAAGAAAAATAAAAAGAGATGGAAAGAGAGAGCAGTGCAGCAGATGGCTGTCAGAAATTTATAGAGACTAATACAAAGTGAACTTTAGGGCTAATTCTGTACCTACAATTACACAGATATGCCAGGAATGTATCTGCTCTCTACTGTGTACTCAGGTGTTCAGGTGCATAGGAGGAATGAGGACTAGAATTCAAATCATGGTGTGCCTCATTTCTTTTCACACCTGGGCAACCCTTCAAAACTTGATGTGATTAACTCTAGAGGAGCAGAGGCTAGCGTGTATTCTGTTGAGTTTAAATAACCTGAGCCATGCCATTTCTTCCAAATGCAACATCCAGTGTTTCAAAATGTAAGCACCATAGAGAATGACTCCTTGCAAACCCTAGGAATTTAGAGTAATGGCTGTATTTAAGATGAAGTGGTGTTAAAGCTTCCCTCTTGAGACGTCGAACTTTATCTCCAATCAGGAACCTTTTTTTTTCCCACCACCTTCAAGGAAAAAGTGCTGTACTGTGTAGAAGGTAGCCTCTGTCTTGTCTGAAGTGATCCTGATATTGGAGGGGGGTCCCACTTTCTGATGAACCTCTTGAAAGTTTCAGCAGCTCACAACAAACCAAACAAATGGCTGAAAGAAAATAAAAACATGAGAGCTCTTTAAGTGCTTAGAAGGAGAGGCTTACTGATGGGGTGAAAACATTTTGAGGCATAGTTCGTTTTAAATTCAGTTCTGTTGTTGCTTTGTCTTGGTCCCTATACATATCCAGGAACATTAATAGAAGGAAACACTCTAAACATTATTAAAAAAATGGTTGTTGAAGAACTTCTATTATTTTAAATGGTCACAAAACACTGAATATATGTGCACTCTTTTTTGTGACAGCATGCACAAGCCCATTTCTCCTAGAGGAAATACCGGTACGCAATGATAAGACGGTTGCTCGGCTAGATGTCATCTCACCCATGTTTATATATAAAAATTTTCCCCGCAAAAAAGAAGATTTTCTGGTACGTAAAAAAAAACATCACCTGCTTGTATGGGTGAGTGTGTGTGCTGCAGTGGAAATTTGGACGTGTTTGCAGGGTAAATAAGGATCTGTGGCCACCATACCACTACTAACGATGAAAATTACAAAATAAATAAACTTATCTTCGAGGGAAAGTTACAATATAGAGGTAAATAACTTTTACAAGCAGTGATTTGAAATGGATTTCTCCAAATAGCATGCCAAACTTGACCTGTCGAGATGAAACTTTGCAACAAAGGCATCAATGTGAAGCCCGACTTGTGCTTCCTGTGTACGCCATTGCGTGAAAGAATCTCCCAACAACACTCTGGTCTTGTTTGCCTTCTCTGAGGCCTTTCCTTTCTTGTCATACCCTTCGTAGACTCTTTTTCTTTTCATGATCCTCGGCCATTCTCAAAGAACCATGGTGAGAAAGGCGAGCTTCAATGGGTCGCTGAAACTGAAGCTCAGCGCAGAAAAAGATAGCTAACTGGGGACGAGGACGTAGGGCGGCCTTACATAAACATATCACCAGAATGATTGTCAATTAGGAGGACCACTTATTTTGATGACCCCCCTGGAAAAAAAATCATCCTCCACTATACCTTTAAGCTTCTTTATTAACACTAATAAAGCCAGCACTGGCTCATGGCTGCCTCGTGCAATAGGACTGTTGAGCTCAACTAATGTGCAGGCCATGTACAGAACTATGAACCTCATAAACTCGTGCATCAATAGATGAGAAATTATTAAAGGGTGTATCCATTGCTTTTATCACATGATATTCCTGTTTCCACATTTTTATTAAACCTCATGATTATTTTTTCATGACAAAAGCATAAAACAATTTCAATTTTTTTTCTTGGTTTTACCTATTCATATTTGTTTTTTTCTAGGTCTGAAGCACGTAGAGCAGGATGAGAGGGTCTCCATGGGAACCAACGGCAACCTGTACTTCTCCTATGCCTTACAAAATGACAGTCGCAATGATTACAGCTGCTTTGCTGCCTTCCACAAGATACGCACTATTGTGCAGAAAAGTCCTGTGCCAGTTAATGTGGAAAGATGTAGGTTTAACCAGAAAGCTAAACTCTATCACTCTTTTTAAACTAACTCAATATTACAAAATATTCTTATTTTTCTTTTCCTTTTTTACATTGTTTTTAATAGTATGGATTTTTGCATCATGTTTATACTTAGGGGAATATCTGGGACATTAATAGTATGACAAATGCATATTGGTAAACAAACACCTCTGTCCCTGCCTGCCCTGTCTTTTGTTTTTGTTTTAGTGAAACCAGAAAGCAGTTCTTCAGAGAGCAGCAATCCCAGTAAGTGATAATCTCACAGTATGTCCTGTAACTGTCTGATCAGAAATTTTGATTTAAAATCTTTAACAAGGTGCTGATACCTAATTAACTATAAGCTTTGTTGTATTATTTAAATGATGTTTGATTCAATTTAACACACAAATGAGGAGGACTATGGTTTTTGTGATGCATTCACAGTTCTTCCAGTTAGAGCACCCAGCATCCTGCTGCCCTCTGGAGTCCAGACGGAGAAAGTGTTGCAGAAAGGACAGGATCTGCAGCTTGAGTGTATACCTGGAGGATAGTATGTGCATTTTATTGTATCACTGTCATCACAAGGCATGGGCTCATAATAGACTCCCAGAGTATGATAACCTTGGTATAGTTTTATTATGTTTAAAAAAATGTACTTGCTGCAAAAAATGAAAGAAAATGTAAAACTACCTAATTACATAAGACATAACAGTATGTAATAGGATTGATCAAGGATAACTTTACTATGAGAGAAGTATTGCCCTGGTTGCCAGACAGCAGTCAGTTGTTGAACTGGCATAGCCTCACACCAGTAGCTTTAAATGGGTCTTTCTATAAGAGCAGTGGCTCCTTAATAGCTTCATTAATTAATAGCTTAGGGTTTACAGTTCAGCCATTTCAGACCAGAACTATTTTTTAAACTTAATTTAGCTTGAAGCTGTTATTGGGCAATGTTCATTCTTCAGTATGTTTCAGTGATGTTGCTCTCTTGTTGTAGTCCCACTCCCACTGTGACATGGATGAAATTGGGGGAAACTCTGACTGATCGGATACAAATGGATAAATATCAAAAGCGTTTGACCATCCCTGCAGTGGAAGAGAGTGATCAGGGAAAATACAAGTGTATGGCTGAAAACTCTGCTGGAAAAGTTGACCATTACTTTGACGTAATAGTAGAAGGTTAGTATTTACAGACAGAATTAATGACACAGAGATGGCATTTGTTTTGACTAAGACAGACATAGCTCTTCTTGACATCTTCCAGAGCCACCGGCTTGGCTTACAGAGCCTCCTCAGAGCCAGCTGACTGTGATCGGGTCAGAAGTCCTTATTAAGTGCTCAGTGACTGGAAAACCACCCCCAGTTATAACGTGGAGGAGAGATGGAGAAATATTCCGAGGTCAGTAACTAAAATTGTAGCGGTGATGCTGTAGCTCTACTACTATTACTAAGAAGAAGCAGTAGACACATCTTGTAAAATTGAAACCAAAGGACCTGGAGTTCATTTTGTCATGTTAATGCTTTATTAAGTGTTGAACAGGGTTAATTGGACAGACCTTTATATTGTTAGAAAACATTACTTACAACATAAATTGTTATAATATAATAAAGTGTACACTGAAAGTTTGGCATTTACTTAGAAGATCAACCTCATTACATCTACATTGCTAAAACGATCTAGAAATAAGTCAATATTTCTTAAATAATATGTATTTACTCTTAACTTGACTAGGTAAATGATTTGCCAATGGAATTAGTAATTTTATTCTTAAAATGAAATAATTAGATAATATGCACTTGAAATAAGACCACACAATATTTTTTTCTTATTTTAAGTGAAAATTGTCTTGTTCCATTAGCAAAGTGTCTCACTTCCCTCCTCAATTGAAGACAAAATGCGCTTATTTTAAGAACAAATTTACTTATTTTGATTCCAATTTTTTGTAGTGTATTCAAAGAGAATGCATGTGTACATAAAGTCTAAAATAATGAGTGACACAGTAAGATGGATTGATATTTGAAGCTGGTATTTATTAAAGCTAGACTACTGAACTATTAGGACTCCATTGAAAACATGTTTTAGAAAAGCAAAGGTTCAATTAAATGCTTTTTTGAAAATATTTTAAGATTATGAATATCTGGTTACTACATCCGACATACTTCTTTTTATTAAATACTAAAATCCAACCTTTATCTAAAATGTGCTTTCAAACCAAAGATAATTACTAAAAAGGTTTCTCTTGATGATTACAAGGAATTTTCTTATTAGAGATTTTTTTTTTTATTTGTTAAAAACTGCTTTTTCACAAAGAAGCTATTTGAGAAAAAAAAACAGCTTTATATTTCAGCTGAAAAATTAATTGTGACTTTTGTCCTGAAGGCTTTGACATTCTGTTTCTGTTAGATGACAGAGCGAACAACAGACGAGTTCTTGATGACACTCTGATGCTTCACAAGGCCAGGCCTGAGGACAGTGGCGTCTACCAGTGTGAGGCCTCCAACCGTCATGGCAGTGTTCTCGCCAATATTAACATCTTAGTCATTGGTGAGTGAAATCTCAAGATTTTAACCATTAACAGTCTGCCTGGTCGCTACCTTGCAAATACAGCAACACAGAGGCGTCTTCATCACTTCAGTCTGAATCAGGAACATTTGTGTGGAGAGATCGTTCTATCAAATTGTTCTTTTGCAATTTTCTAACCTTCTTTTTCATTTTATATCCTTGTAGCTTTAGTTGATTTTCAAGTAGGAAATGGTTCTGTCTACTGCAATTTTTGCAATTTTTTTTACGTACTTTGTTATAAATTATGAACTTTAAGGGGATATTTCACAAGCCTGTTTTGCAACTGAAGCTTTAAAGTTAATGGAATGCAGTTGTATGGTTCTGAAAAATAATATTTACTTACAATAGGCTAGGTGGTGTAAGTTTTTACCAGGGGCCTAAACTGAATCTTATATTTATCTTATTATTATATAAATGCCCAAAATAGGAAATGTGAATAGTTAGATCAATATAAATTAAAATGTTTACCTTTTAAATTCAGTTTGAAATATACTAAACTTTAATAAAAATTCAACTCCTTTGCAATGTTTAAAATACATGACCGGAAAAAAAAAGCTTAATTTGCATATTTCAGATTGAAGTAGAAAGAGAGGAAAGGGTGTTAACAGGTGAGAAATGTAGGTATGAATTTGTGAAGAGGCAAACTTTGTATGTTGAAGGTAGCATTAGCATTGTTTCACAGCTGGTTGGTGGGGGAATTATTTTTCTAAACAACCATAAACCATTACCTGAAAGCTTGTGGGGTTGTTTTCAATCATTTATTAATTTATAAATCATAAAATTTGTACCGTAGTAAGTGCATGCAGAACTTCACATTTCTGTTGCTTTAATACTGGTTACTAAAAGTGTTTATACTTGTTTCTTGTAAGAAACATGCAAAGAAGAAGATATAATATTCTAGATGGCTACTTTAAAACTCTTTTTTTATGTTTTGGGAAAATTGTCTTCTAGAGATAGTTTTTTATTTAAATTGTTCAGCTCCACAGATTGGTGTCAAATGTCAGGCTGGTGTTCTCAAGAGCCTGTTCTACTATTTATAGCTCTACATCTAAGACAATGGAATCTCACTCACACTCTGTGATCTTAGATATGGCACCTCTTATGCTGACAAAGGACTTCCAAGAGTATGGAGTAATAGAAGAAGAAGACATTGTCATGAACTGCAGCGTTTTCAGCTCTCCTCCATCCATGATCACTTGGTAAGGGGAGTGAAATGTGTAATGTTTAAACATGAATTATTTTGTCCCATTTTTTTGTGGTTAAATAAAAAAGTTAAATTTTCCCCTACATATGGAATATCTCAACCAGACTAGATTAGAGCTTAAACAGTATTATTACAGGCAGCAACAAAATAGTGGTCCCTTGGGTATCTATCAGTGGTGTCAAAAGTACACACATTTGTTACATAAGTAGAAGTATAGATACTGCAGTTTAAAACACTCTGGTAAAAGTTGAAATATTGACTAGTTTTCTCAAGTAAAAGTGAAAAACTATGTGCTCCAAAACTACTTAAAGTATAAAAGTGTAAATTAACCATTAAAAAAACAGCCAGATGAATTGAAAACTAAATTTTTCGACAAATTCGTAAAATTCTTTGAGGTAGAGCAAAGGATGAGGGAGGTCTTGTTGGTCTCCGTCTCCCGATACGCCCTCGCCTGTGTCCGACCTTTCAGACATTTCAACATCTTTTTCGGAATCTAACATTGTAGCATGGCATAGACAATTCACGTTTGCAGTTTGAAGAACACCTGCTTGCTTCTGATGATTTTCTTTGGCGTCAGCACAAATTTGACAAATAGCTAAACAATACGCTTAATGAGCGTTATGACTCATCAAAAAACACTAGTTTTCACTAGATGTGGATGGCGCCAATGATCTGCATTAGATGGCGCACAGACTTGAAATAAATATTTATAAACATAAAACTGAAGCCAAGAGTAATGAATTACATTTGTTTTAAAGATGTAAGGAATAGAAAGTACAGATACTTGTGTGAAAATGTAATGAGTAGAAGTCAGAAGTAGAAAGAAAAATAAGACTAAAGTATAGATACCCAAAAAGCAGGCGCGCTGGAAGCTGTTTCAAGCGAGGGGGGCTGATGGCTGGGTTGGAAAACACATGACGTCATTATGTTGATGGCTGTTGCTGACGTTTTTAACATAATATTGTAGGCCTACATTTGTCGCAAAAAACTGCCATTTAAAATGCATCGGAACAAAGCATGAACATTTTAAACTTTATTTCTTCTCTTTTAATCATTCAAAACAAACAACAGCTCCCAATCAACAGGATCAGAAATACTTGAATAAAACATGGCCTAAATATAGCCTAAACTGAGCATTGAACATCTTGAAAGTCCATTCAACTATGGATATGGGGAATGATTTCATATCTGAAACAAAAAACACACACAAAAAAAATTAACTAATTTCAAATTTTATCACTAAATAGCTTAATACAGACATAATATTTAGTGATATGCAGCCTTATTCTAGCGTAGACTTCTTCAGCCACAGGACTACGACGAATAGGCACAGCATATATAAATAAATAAGAAATAAATAACGCTAAATAAATGCTCAGCGGCAGTATAGGGGAATTAAAACCATTTCTTACCTCGAAATAGTCAGAAATACATTTCTGCTGCCTTTTGCTAGCCATGCCTAAATGAATGTGAGGTGGCAGTAGCTTCTGGGGGAGTAGCCTAGTTTTTTATGAAATATTAAAATAATGAATCATTAGTTTATATCTTATACACAGCCCATCATTTTAATCCCATATCAAACACAGTCTTTTAAAAAATAAATACATAAATAATTTCATGTTTTTAAGTACAATATTATGTTACTCCACAGCCCCCCACCATGGGGGGCTGATGCTATGACGAGGGAGGCTGCAGCCCCCGCAGCACCCCCCTTCCCGTGCCACTGCCAAAAAGTGTACTTAATTACAGTATCAAACTATTTGTACTTCGTTACTTGACACATCTGGTATCTATGTCTACAATCTAATGTCTGTAATGAGAGACAGCTTGAAATTTATTCGACCAAATTCTGCTAACTATATTTTGACCAAATGAAAAACAATGTTGAGAACATTGAGTTTCTAGAGCAGAGATGTACTACACCAAGTTAAAGACTTTTTTTCACCTAATTGCCAGCTTTAATTGGTGAATTTGATAAAATTGAAAGCATTAAGAGGTGTAAGTAAGTATTAAGAGAAGACTCCAAAACATTTATAAAATATAAAAATCTATTTTATGCAAAAAAGTACAGTATAAACAACGGAGAATTCAAAAAAATCTATTTCTTCCAAGCTGAATGATTTGCAAAAGTGAAAATCATGGAAAAAAAATAATCTACACATAAACATGTTTTCTGCTCCATGTATTTAGGCCTTATATAAAATAGCTGATTTTCCAAAAATGCAGTGCTCTGTTATCAGAACTGTGCTGGGGACAGATCTTACATCTCGCGCCTTTTGTTTTGCAACTTTGAAATCACTATGAGTTATAACAAAAATACAAAGCAAATGTTTTCAGATCTATTAATGGATATTTGTAAAATCTTTATTTCAAGGACCAAAGAGGAGACAGTTGTCAAGGGAGAACGATTTGAGGTTTTCGAAAATGGGCAATTCTTGAAAATCACTGGTACAGAAAAAAGTGACAGTGGGAAGTATGTTTGCATGGCCAGTAACACAGAAGGCATGTCAAATCTCACCGCTCTGCTACACGTGAAAGGTAGGTCTACAAATGCATTACATTCAGCTTTTGCCTTTGTGAAAGTAATTATAGAAGTGAAATACATAAATTCCAGTCATTGCCTCATTTCTGTTTTAATTAATTTTAAAAAGATCTACAGTGTGTTGCAACTATTTAGAAGAATACTTAAAGTTCAGATTAATCAAAAAGCGCAGTCATAAACATCATCTGCAAATGTTTTTTTGTTTAATAAGAACTTGCAGGCTTATTGTTTAAGCACTTATAATGAGTTTTTTTATATTGTGAAACAAATGTGTATTGTGAAATAATTTGCCCTGATTCATGACATATGTGAGACAGATGGAGTTAGACAGCTTTATTTCTCTGTTTCAGTTTAGCTGCGTAAATCATCGCTTCTTTACTTTGAAGTCTGTCTCTAAAATCATGTTTTGTCTTCAGAACCAACAAAAATCGTGGTTCCACCTCAGGATGCGCAGATCATCAGTGGGACCTCAGCCAGGTTGATGTGCCAGCCAGTGTACGATAGAAGTCTGCAGGACACCTTTGAGGTGATCTGGAGGAAGGATGGGGAGGAGATATTTCGCTCCCCAGAGGAAAGTTCCAGGTAACTGGCTAAGCTTTGATAGTTTTTGAGTTGGTGGATTTGCTGAGCTTCTCAGTATTCTCTTAAAGCAATGGTAAAACAAAACAACAGAAAAGCAACATAAGCAATGTGCTAATCAAAGACATCTCACAAACAACATTTTATTGGTCTTCTGTTATCTTAACGAATTGAAAATCAAAAGCATCAAATGCTGCTGAACGTTTAACTTTTAGCCCTTTAAGTTAATCTCATTTCTATTCTCAATAACTGTCTTTATCCTCTGCACTGTTTTACACTTTGAACACTGCTGCACTTTTTGTCTAACTCGTGCCATTTGAAATATCAATGCAATGTTCATAAGCTGTATGTAAGGCAATTTCGTTCTGTATGCACTCTGTGCATACAAAATGACAAATAAAGAAGTCTAAGTCTAAAAACAAAAAAGTATTCTATATTTATGCATAAATACAGAATATACAAACAATATGAATAACCTTAAGAAGTACATTGGTTCAGTTAGGTAAAAAAATCTTAAGTCAAATACTACTTGTTTTTGATAAAATCTCTAATGCCTAAAACTAAAAGGATTATTTTCCATTGATAGCGTCTCTCAGGGTTGGAGAGTATATAGTGATCGTTATATAGGCCTCATACTGTACATAGTTTCCAAAGGTGCCAATTGTTGAACGGGGCTGCTGGACAACACAAAATGTTAAATAATTAAGTAAGAGATATATCATATGAATCGACACAATATTCTGCAGCCCTGTCTTTTTCCCTTATCTCATGCTCATTATGGAGAATAACAAAATAACCCTGTTCCCTACGCAGCTATTCATCATTCTGATCTAATCACTCTTATCAATCAAATGTGATGTGGCTTAAAAGAAAATTTTATCTGCCTACTGATGACCTTAATCAACCAATCTGTCATAGGTTGGTAAGGAAATGTGTAAGTGCCTTTAGCAGTCAGACTCTATAGTTGTTAGAAGATTTAGTTAGGATGTGATCTGTAGCTTCTGACGGAGGCGATGGTGGCTCAGGAGGTGGGGGTCATTTAACTGGCTTTTTCCACCTGAATTAATGGTTAGAACTTGCTCTAGAGGTAGACCTGATACCCATCCATGTTCTCCTATCTTTGTCCCACCCATGCAATTTCTACAGAGTTTAGGTCTGGGGAAAGAACTGCCACAATCAAGATGACTAATTTTCCGTTTAATGGAAACCCCTAAATTCTCGCATAAATTCAATGGTCTTTCAGATCAGTTTTTGATGCTATAAATGCTAACAAGGTTCCAAAGGAAGTTTGGAAATGGAAGGACCCCATAGCAGTCCACTGGTCTTCCAACATGTCTAATGTTGTGTAATGTTGCTAGAAAACCTGGTGAACTTTAAAATATTAATATAAAGTAAAATAAATAAAAGTATAGAGTAAAAACAAGGCTTCAGGCACAAATCATTTCAAGAAATCGATAGTCCCACCAATGATAAAATATAAAAACATTTTATGTATTTTTTATTGGAGGCATTCATTTATTGAGAATATGTTTTGTGTTGTTATCAGTAATATGTCAAGTGTTTTTATTAGCTGCTTTCCATTTTTAAACAAAATTCCATATCTGCAATTGATAATACATTATGGTTATAATTGTATTTATAATACATTATGGTATTTCGCAATAAGGTTTTGAGTAATAGGAATTTATCAGAACTAATCTTCTATACTCGTCCCGTTTACATAAATAAATAATCTTATTTGACACAGATACATTGTGGAAGGTGACCTGCTTCAGATCATGAATGTGAACCTCAATGATCAGGGAATGTATACCTGCATTGTACGGACAAGTCTTGATGAGGATAAAGCTTCTGCCTTTCTAACTGTACTAGGTATGACTCCATAGTTTGTGTCCTTCCCTATGAAATTATTTATTTGTTTCAATAAATCTCAGATACATAAACCAATATCCCTCTTTCTTCACAGATGTCCCAGATGCTCCTATGAGTTTAAAGATATCTGATCAGGATTCGAGGAATGTTACTCTGTCCTGGATACCAGGGAGTGATCACAACAGCTCTGTCACAGGTAAACATTTTGTCAAAATCAAGAAAAAGATTTTGCTATGGAAATTTTCTGGAAATGGTCCCTTGAAGGCTGTTGGTAACAAATTTGCCTCAAAGTGCTTTTAGAACTAATTAAGTACAGGTGCATTTGAATCACAATGGATTTTCACAGAATATTTCATATATAGCAACATCTAAATTGGAAATACTTTGTCAACATTTTGCAATTGGAGCTAAGCACCTTTATTTCTTATTGAGCTATTATTTTATATAAAGGACTTGCTTTACTATAGTCAAGAATGAGAAGTGCCAATTGGTCTATGGAAACAAAAAAATGCACCTGCAATAGGTTGGTAATCTATTTACCTTGCGCAAATGCTCTAAGCCACCGTATTTTGATGAAGATTTTGTGTTGCTGTGGTAAGAGTTTAAAGGAGCCAAGTGAACTAATTTTGCACGCCCTAAAGCTGCCAAGCTATTTCACAATGATTGCAGGTATGATTGCTTTGTAGAGAAGATACAGGCAGAGGAGAATAGAAAGGACCTTTTCCTGTTTGTAGGTTATAAAACAAAAAACAATCAGGACATAGTGAGTGTGAGGTTAAACATGAAAAGTTGAATGGAATGTTACAACTGTTCAAGTCAATCAGCAAGTCAATTAATGGTTCAATTTCTGAAAACAAAGTTACTTAGAAACATTGTTTTTTTCAAAACATCCCAGATGCACTAAACCGTTTTTCAAATGAAATGAACATTTAAGGCTTTTTTCCATCATTTATCATAGACGATATACTGTAAAAGGATTTGGTTATTAAAAAGCTTCTTCTGATCTTCCTGGAGTTCTCCCAAATAACCCCAAAAATTGTTTAACTGCATTAAAAACTGAACAAAAGAAAACTTCTGTTAAATTTTCTCTTACCATCAATAATGAGTCAATATGCATAACTTAAATTAAAGGAATGACAGATCAAATTAACAATTGCAGAAAGTGAGTTTCAGCAACACAGTAGCAGCAAAGAGTATCTCACAACATAATATGCACTGTAAGGATTTTGTAGATTTAAGATTTTACTGTGGAAAAAATGTAAATTACTTACTGTACATCAGGGACTCCAGTAATTTCCTTTTTTAACACTTAATTTACTGTAATTTATTTAAACAGTATTTTACTGTAAATTGAATTACAGTAAAGTTACAGTAAAATGGCAATAAATTACATTAAACTGTTTAGTTTTTATTGTGTTTTCCAGAATGTGCATAATCGGTTTACTAAAATAGTGAAATGTATGAAATTACATCAATCCTTAAAGATGTACAAACAATATATTACAGATTCAATCAATTTTTTTTTTCATTCACAGGACAGAAGGACTTATTCTTTAAGGTTAAGTATTAGTTTTATCATAAATTACTAATTATCAGTACATATATTTAAATAAAATAGATGCAACAACAGAGTAATCCAGAAGAAAACCAGCTGCAATAACATGGATTAAGAAGCAGTATAAAAAAATTTATCACAGTATACCTTTCACACAAGTCTATTACAAAGTGTTATTAAAGGAAAAGAAAAGGCGGAAAGGGGAGCTAGCAAACAGAAAAGAAACTGCAGTGTTTGACTGGTTTCCTCATAAATGATGAGTTCATGTAAAACATAAAACAAAAGAGCAGCACAACGGCATTGGCAAAGTATAAAAATGTAAAATAGCTAGTTATTTGGAGCTGTAGGTGCAGTACCTCAGTTATAAAAGGGATGAAAATGGTATGCAATATACACTGGAGAAAAACCTGACCTTAACTCACACAGCTCTCTTTACCAATTTTAGCATCTTTTTCAAGTTTAAAATAGGCTACTGTGTGACATTTCAGTAGTTTAATAATAACACATACAAAGCAGTTCAGGAGATAAACATAATCTTGCCCTCTGAGCCCGAGGAATGAAGCAGGAGAATGAGTTTTGTCTAAAGATAAGCCCAAAAAAAATAATCATGCCCCTCAAAAATGGGTCCCCTAAAAACAGAGCAGCAAACTGTCTCCATAAAGATTCTCAGAGATAATCGCAGGACTACAGAATTATTTTTCCCAACGGCTTTAAAAAATTATAGCAACATGCTGTTAAATTGGAATTTAATTAACGGTACAATAACTAACTGCTAGTGCTTAACCTACTTGATCAACTGTAAATTAACTTGCAAAGTAAAGCTATTTAACAATATTTTTCTGTTATGATGAAAAATTGCAAAATGTTAAAATTTAGGTACATTTTAAGACAGCTAAGAATTCAATTTTTCTAAATTAAGTGAGATATTTTTACAAAATCATTAACAGCTTTTTTCCCTCCTCAATAATAAGTGTTGGATTGTTTAGGACCAGCATGTAACATTAAACCGTCAATGTTTAAAAGCAAGTTGTTTCTCAATAATAAACAATCATCGTATGACTTATGAAAATGCATCTTACTGATAATTTCGAGCTATTATGGTTTTATTGCTTTGACTCTGCTTTTTTTTTTAAATATTCCTGCTCTGGCTCTAGAAACAGCAGTGCATAAAAACAATAATGTAATTTGTTTTAACTTTCAAATTAAAGCTGGGACTCTTTCAAATCGTATAAACACTTAAACTAAGATGATCTTTTATTTTGCTTTGTTCTATTTAGCATATTTAGCATGGTTCAGAAACAACAATGCATGCCTTAAAAAAATAGCTGAAAACAAAATCTGACCATGCAATAAGTCGATCTAAATATAAAAAAACATGTACTGGCTTTAAAAATCACAGTTTAAATGAAAGCTTAGTGTTTTTCACAAATTATTTTTGTACAGTGACCTTGATTTAAATCCTTTATCTCAACATTTTATTCTGGTATTGACTTTACTCTTAATCTAAGGAGGACTCAAAGGAAAAAGAAAACATTAGCAATAACATTTCTAAGAACTGAACACTTTAACAAATATCTCAGATTTCTTACTAGAGATGATCATATACATTCTAGAATTCTTAAGCAAAATTGTGAAATAGTCCTATAGTTCAGAGGCTAAACAGAAGCTGTACAGTAAATTAAACAATCATACTTAAATTCTGGAGTCAAAGAGTGGAGTCTTTAATGATTGGACAGAAAATTAGAAAAAATAATTTTTTTTGGAAGTGTAAATTGAAAATAAGAAAAATGTGCAAATGTATGACTATAGTTAGAAAAGGAAATTGGTGATAATCAACATTGCACATTAACTGTTGTAAGAATTGAAAGCAGCCGAAAAATAAAGAAAAATTCAATGTCTCACTTCTGGTCTGATCTACACAGAGATGGTTGCACTTTATAGCTCCTTGACAGCTGAAGTTGTCAACAAAAGGACAAACAGCTAAATAACAGATAAAACAGTCCTCGATCATAAATAGATAGTCACTTCAGCAGATGTGGAAACCTAACAGTTCTATCTACTGCAGCTCAGGGTGCATCTATCTTCTTAAGGGAAGAAATATAGTTGGTATCAGGGGAAGCAGAGAGCCATTTGGATGCCTCTATGCAGTTATCTGCTGACCTGTTTCAGTGATTCTGCCCTGAGCTCTCTTCATCTACAAATAAACGGTTGATATGTCGAGATGATTTTTTTCTTTTTTCAACCACATCTGATGGCTAAGTTTACTTTATGTTTGACTAGATTTATTTTTTAAGTGTTTGGGACCTCTGGAATCTTTTACTCCCAATAGAGCCATGATTTTTTATGGACTGCTACTCTAACAGGCTTCTTTTTTCAGATTTCCACAAATGTAGTGATTTTTATGCAAAAGTCTTACTGTTAAGATATTTTTTATAGAAAAATGCTTGACTGCAAATTAATTAATCATGCAGAATTTCCCAACCGCTATTTAAGTCCTTTTTAAACTTAATGCAGATACACTATAATGCATTTATATTAGTCATAACCCGGTATATACCATCCTCCTAAAATAGTTTTTACATTTTTTGCAATCCTTTTTAGAGAGAAATAATGAAATAAAGCTTATTTGGACCCCTTCTAATACCCATTTTTCTTGCAAGGGTATGCAAGAGCCTTTAAATTGTGTGTTGTGCATTCATGTGAATCTAGTGTTGGCAGCATTAGCAGTTTGCCCTGGTTAGCTTACCATTGTTTTCTGGTCTCTTACACAATAGGTAAGAAGTTGCACAAGCAGCAAAACGTAACAGTCACTGAATGAGTCTCTGCTTGTTGGAATTAGCCCTTTGGTGGAACAGAGACAGGAGTGGTGAAACTATGATGGGCTAATCATAGCTTCCTGCCAAAGATGACTTTAATTCAGGAGGAGGACCAAAATCGTACTCTTTGAAAACCAAACTCTTGTGAGATTTTTTTGCTTGAACAAAGAGTCCACTTGATAACCCGAAGCCACTTTCACACTCTAGGTTTTCCAGCAGGTTTTGCTTAAAGTCGAACACTAACATGCTTTTTAAGATGGAAAAGCCACACTTCTGGTTGAAGACTTAAATAAAGGAGGCTTTAGACTATTTCCGCTCTTTTATCATGCTCTGAAGAATGTTATTCAATGAGAGAATATTACATACACCTGTGTAAAAAAAAAAAAAAAAATTCACCAAAACAAACCACAGCATGATTGATTCTTCAGTAAAGCTTAATAGAAGAGCTGATTTAGTTAGAATATAAGAGTCTGAGTTGTCAATGTTTTTGCAGACTTGTAAAAAATGAGTATGTTTCCTATTTCAGATGTTAAAAAGAATTGCATCTTCAAGGATGTATCGAGTTCACAAGGTTTAATGTGTTCTCACACATCACAACATTTCTTTTTATCCTTTTACCTACATATGGACCTCCTTTCATTTGTAGTTTAAGGAAGGCTTCTTGCTTTTCATTTGACTTTTTTGACCAATATAAGACATGCTGAGCAGGGGAAGCTTCTTTCTGTTTTTCAGTGTCTTTTATATTCTTAACTCTTTATGTAGACTGTCTGGATCTTTCTGTTAAGAAAAGAATGAATAAAGGTAGCACAAAGAAATTAAATCTCTTTATCTGAGTTATGTCATAACTTCAAACTTTGCTCTTTATGTCATTGTAAAAGATTTCTGTCAGTTTATCGGTCGAGTTGCATTTGACATTATTTTTAAGCTTCTTACTTAAACTAACCCTTCTTTCTGTATAAATGGCAATTAAAGTCTTATCTGACAGTATTTACATTTTTCAGTAAGGTGATGATTAAATATGACTGATCCTCCTCTCTCGTGCGTAGAATTTGTGGTGGAGTATGAGGAGGACCAGTGGGAGCCTGGCAGGTGGAAGGAGCTGCAGAAAGTGGTTGGTAACCAGGCAACAGCCGAGCTCTTTCTTCATGGAGACCTTAACTATCAGTTCAGAGTTTATGCTGTTAATGCCATTGGACCTGGACCACCTAGTGAGCCCACAGAGAGACTCAAAACACCCCCTGCTGGTAAGACTCACTTGATTTTATTAGCATGCTTTTGGGAGGTAATCTGTCGATTTTCAAAGTGTTTGTCTTTGAGCATGTCACCCTACAGTGAGAAGTGTAAAAACGTTTACAGCATGAGCAAATATTTCCATCTTGCATTTTAACTTTGTGTAATACAAGTGAATCACAGCAAATATAAAAAAATATCTTCAACAATAGATTCTCTTCTTTGCAACCTAATTATATGCACATTTATTTTTCTCTTTGAAGCACCAGACAGAAACCCAGATAACGTCAAAATTCACGGACACCTTCCCCATGAAATGGACATCAGCTGGGACGTAAGATCTTTTTTTTTTTTAAATTGAGATTTTAAATTTGAAACATTCACAAATACTCTAACATGAGTTTGTCTCAATAAATTGGAAAATGATTAAAGGTTAGTTAAAGTTATAAAATGTAAACTCATTCATTTTGATACTCAACCATACTGATACTGACCATAATTTTTGTTCATCATGTAAGTACGATGAATATAAAAATGAAGGCCGAAGGTGCTGTGTACAGGGACATTTGGGGGAAAGTTTAGTGGAAGAAAAACTGTAGATGAAGAGTTTTGCAGAAAATCATGAGGCATCAAATGCGACTGGAGTCACCGCTTTGAGATCAACCATACAGACATATTCAGGACATGTTTACAGCTTTCACTAGTTTTAAGCCACACTTGAACCCAAAACCAGCTTTTGTTCAGCTGTCCAAAGCATTCTTTTTTAGTTGGTGGTTATTTTTAGCTTTCACTTAGAAATAAAAGCTTGATTTAATGTCCAGCATTAATCATCCACATTATACCAATACCTGCTGTAGTCAACATGTTGTAACTATTCTTTATGGCCAGCAAACAGGCCTGAGGGAAATCTATTAGTCAACATCTTCCCAAAAGACCATTGACTATAGTCCAAAAATAAAAAAATGAAAAATAGGAACTCCAAAACCACCAATGACAAAGAAGCGAGAGCTGCTGTTAAAGCAAACTGGACTTTTTAACTACTCAGTAAAGCTATAGCTGATCCTCACGTTGCCACACAGCATTCATGGCATTATTATTAAATATTATTCTTGCACCTTTACTTTACTTTGCAAATCGATTATTCTGTCGATAGTTTTTTTTTTGATTCATTGCTTAATAATTGGATAGCCAAAGAGGCTTAATCAAACCAGGTGACTAGTGTTGTCACGATACTAAACTTTTCAACTCGATATCGATATTAAGAAAAATATTCGATACTCGATACCATTTTCGATACCACAAGGATAAAAGGTCCAAATTTCAACAGAAATATTTTGATTAATAACTAAAATACAATAAATAAATACAATAAACAATAAGAACAATATTTTGAGGTTGTTTGATGTGCACAGTATTAAGCAAGCTTGATAAAAAAAAACGTACAAAATTAAAATTAAGTGTTCCTTCCTTGGCTATGCTTTGCACACATAGCAATGACGCTAGCCAAACAGGTTAAGAAACAAAAATCATTCTCAGCAGCTGCACCCCTTACAAAAAAAGTCTGAAACTAAAAAGTGCAGAGAATTATTCAATCACACAGTGTTCAGAAAGTCCATTTTCCTCTATTCTGCACTTTAGATGAATGACTGTTTAGGTGCCACTCGTGGTAGCACTGTATCGATACTTTTAAAAATGAGTATTGTATCCGGATACAACCTTTCAGTATCGATACTTTTTTGAGTATCGATACTTTTGACAACCCTACAGGTGACACTAAAACGTTTCCACTTGAGGAGTTCTGGATAGAGCATATTGACAGACCAAAAAGTTTTTATCTTAAATGCAAAATGTTTACATATTTTTTTTTTATCTTGGTATAATTGCTGCTCTAAGTGGGTCGCTCTGTCAGCTAAAGGCATGTTTCAGTCTCTATACTCCAGCTAACGATTAATTAATTAATAATTTAGTTGATGATTATTTATATAATCAATTAATCATGATTAATCCGATTGTTTCAGCCCTACACCAGATAGTACATCGGCTGTCTATTCAGTATGATTTATTTTTGCATCAAAAAGATTTATTCGGTGGTCATCTTTTATAATCAGTTTAAAAAGCTGCATACTGTATGTACTCTTGACTATATGGTTTTGACGTGTCCTGTTTTGTCTTGCAGTCGCTCTCTCCTACTGAATACAATGGTCCAGGACTTGAGTATAAGGTCTCCTACAGAAAACTTGATGTGGAAGATGAATGGCAGGAGCACCTGGTCACAAGACCCTCCTTCATCGTGAGGAACACATCCACCTTTGTACCTTACGAGATCAAAATTCAGAGCAGGAACAGCCTTGGCTGGGGTCCAGAACCAAAACCTGTAACTGGTTACTCAGGAGAGGATGGTGAGTCATATGTCATCTTGTCATGTCGGTTTCTTTATTTCTGAGTTTCCTGTTGATTTAACAAACTGTGAAAACTAGGTTCCTACACCTGGTGATTGTTTCTCTTATTCTTACTTTGAACCTCTTCTGCTATCGTTTCCACCTGCGTCCTCAGTTGTCTTTTGGCACTGTCTGCGGGAAAATGTGTCAGGTTAAGTTCTTTTCTTATTTTTCCTCTTTTAGTCGAAGGCTTTTACCATGTGCCAGTGTGTAGTGGTGACCCTCCCCCCCCACCCCCCCACGACCTTTCTGACAAATACAAGAACAACAGCATTGTTAAATCTAGCAGGTGGCAGATAACCTTTGTATAAGAGAAGAAAGTAAAATTTCCAACTCTGTGCTACAGCTGACAGATCACGACACATTATGTGCTTTAGGCCTATTGAGGCTTTCCCTCACTTATCACCACTTCTGTGCTTTTATTTAGTCTTTGTTTTGTTATCTTCAATAAGATTTTTTTTTTTTTTATCATAACTATTTTTTTTACATATGTATATTTTTTTCCCTCTTTTCCTTCAAGTACCCACTGCAGCACCGCAAAATGTGGCGGTGGAGGTTATCAACTCCACTGTTCTCAGAGTCAGCTGGAGTCCAGTTCCCCCAGCCACAGTCCGAGGGCACTTAGGCGGGTACAATGTAAGTTTCTAAGGATTTATTTTTCTCATGCTTACCTTATTAATATTAATATTATTGATATAAAAGTAAATAAGAATTTGAGGTTTATGCTGGCATATTTTTTTTACTGAAATGTCTGGTGGTGTGGCAACTTATAAGGTATTCATTAAGCAGGAAGAGAGAGCACAAATGCACTAAACATAACTTTTTGGAAAATTTTGGAATTAATTTTTGTTTAAAAACTGACCTGTCTAAAGCAATTTGACTCCATTCAAGAGCTTTTATTTAATAAGTTACAGAAAATAATGATTAATTCTATCTTTCTATTATTATTGCATTTATATAAGAAGTAGAAGCATCATCACACCTTTTGTGGAGTTGGTTTAAAACAATGATTTTTTTTTTAAATAAAGACAATACGAAGAAGGAATTAGCACTTTAAACCGGCCATAGCGTGTTTCGGCAAATTGCCTACTTGTTTTCCATACAATAAATCTCATATTATATCTTTAGAGATAAAGTCATAGAGTCTCTCTTGTTATTCTTTCTTTGATATTTATTTTTGTAAACATGCGATTGACACTTAAAAAAGCCTGAGAGAATTCCATCACTAACAATGTCCACACTAAAGCGTGTAGTTATATGCAATGTGGTCATGCTTCATTTAATGTGTTTACAGACGGAATGTAGAGTCAATTTTGTGATTATTTGGTAATGATTATAAGGGTTATTCCTAGTCTATATATGGGTTCATCAAAGGTTTAAAACTTGTGTTTCCTGCATATATTTCTAGAATCCAATGTCTTTGCAAGATTTGGCAATGGACCTTATTGTCAAGAATTAATGTACATGAATAAAACATGACTTGCATCTTTTTTTAGTTGTTTGTGTGTATTAAAACCTTCACAACAGTGTCTTTGGTATTATCATTTACCATTTGGATTATAAAAAAATTATAAATTAAATTTTTTTAACTAGTTGATTCATTATCAGACACTCTTTTTCCTTACTTCTTGTTCTTTTATTATTTCTATCTCACCCCTGCTTGTTGTTACCTCACAGGTTTACTGGGAAAGAACAAAAAGTTTCCTGAATCCTGAAAAGGTTTTAAAGGAACGTAAAGAAAGCATGTCTTTCCCTGGACAGAGGACTGATGCCATTGTGCCAGGACTTGAAGCTTTCTCAGAGTACATACTCACTGTTAACGTTTATAACAAGAAGGGAAAAGGACCTAAGAGTGATCCAGTGACCTTTCATACTCCAGAGGGTGGTAAGACCACTTAGCCATAAAATACAACATGTGTGCTGTTTTGCTTTCAGATAGATAAAAAGAAAAAAGCTTGACATTTGAATTTATACAATTTACATAAATATTGTGGCTTTTACTTTTGATTTTCTGTCTCTTAAAAAAAGGACCTAAAGAGAAATGAGAAGAATAATGATTGTTGCTAAAATGCTACGATAAACTGATTTTAAATAAAGGGCTAAATGCCTGGTAACATACTGTACATTGCAGAAAGTTTGAGAAGTAGATCAAATATATTTTATATTTAAAACCGACATACAACATAACAATTTGATTCACTTTTGGCAATAGAATTATCTAAACACTTTCTAATTGTATTTGCATTCCTTAAACTTAAAGGATTCTACCTGCTTAAATACTTGGGATGTATTCTACTTTAAGAAAACAGTGCAGGTGTGTCACAATATGTGAATTCAAAGAGATCATCTAAAATATTGGAAAGAGAATAAACCTCCATGATACTAGGTTAAAATGTTTTCTTTTTTGGGGAAATATGAAGAGTTTTTGGTTTAAAACCTATCCCAGCATTAACCCCAGCCCAAAAGCAAACTACTTTAAATTATTAAAATATATGACATTGAAAAGGGTAAAAAGCATCTCTTCTTATTATTTAGCATTTAGCAAAGTGAAATGGTTTTAATAACCCAACTAAACAAAATCAAGTTTAATATCTGGCTTTGAGGGGGAAAAAAACTAATGTATTTTTGGGGGTATTGTATATAGATCTATCGATATGCTACAACAAACATTAAAAGGTTCAAATACCATTTACCCCAGTCTAAATTATTGTTTTATCGTACATTTAACTTATTAAACATGGAGACTATTTAATTTAAGGTCTTATCAGGTTCTCAGAAAAGGCTTTAGGTTTAAGCTGTTAGACTGACTTCCTTCCTTAAGCCTCTGTTTGGTTAATAAAAACACAAATTAAGTAAACTGAACTCATACAGTACATCTAATTATATAGAGAAACAAACCAATATGTTTTTTTTATTCCTTAAAACTGTTGTTTGTTGTACAAAAACTCTCCAATTGTTATTTCTTCAGGGGAAAAAAAGCTTAATATAATTTAGTAAAAAATGCTCCTTTATAGTACTGTTACAGTACAGGATAATTACAGTTTAAGAAGAAAAAAAAAGGAAACTTGTATAAGTGTTATATTCTGAATATTGATATGTGCAAATATGTTTTAGTAATACAATGTCAAAGACAAACCTGAACATTTCATTCAGCAGATAGTGACAACAAATCAATGTTTATATCAGATGTATTTCTTCCCTAGATGCAATTGTACATATAATTTACAGTGGTATTAAAGTAAACATTTCTACCCTCTAAAGAACGATAGTTGAGCCCATAATTCAGTATTTCACCAGTTTTTTTGATCAAGACATCAGGGTTTAAAAAAAAATGGAAATTTATATTTTATGAAATTTTCTCATTCCTAGTTTGGATTAATTTGTTTTCTCTTCCCACATGTCAAACATAAGAAGTTGTATTACTTTAGGTTAATCATTTTCTTTACTCTAGTTAGTTTTTCTCTCCTAAATGTTTCAAATGAAAACGTTTCAATTAAGCAAATAGCTCATAGTAGTAAAACACAAAAATAGACTGTTGAATTGGATGTAGAAATCTTTAAAAAAATACCGCCTCTTTATGTTTTCCACAAGCATCTAAATGAAACAACATTATTTAGTAGTTTCATTACTGAGTCAAGAAGAAAGCAGATTTAATAAAGAGCTGCACTATGGCAGGGAGGGAGTTGGGTTTTTTAGACAAATAGAATAAGATCTTGGTTGCAGATATTGGTATTTTGTTACTGTCTTTTTAATTTCGCTCTTGTTGACAATAAAGAGAACTTAATAACAGTTTTGGCATTTAATATATTTCTATTGCACTCATACTCATGGTTAACCTCAAATTGACATCAATAAATTAATTTATAATAATAATATTTGAAAGAATGATATTAATATTTAAGTTATTGAATTTTTTTATATATATTTTTTTCTTTTCAACAGTTCCAGGGAAAGTATCCATATTGGTTGCCGAAAACATTCAGAATGATGCCATTCTGCTGGAATGGGGACCACCGCTGGTGAACAATGGCCTCCTCACTGGTTATTTTCTACAGTATCACCTATGTATGTAAAAAGTCTGACTGCTCTGCTTCCTGACAGTTTAGCTTTCAAACTTTCTGACTACTAACTTTAATATTTTACACTGTTGTGTTGTCATTTCCATTGTTTCTGGACATAAAAGAAAACACTTGCTTGCAGTGTTTATTTGCGTTAACTAAAAATTAACACTTTAACATTTTAAAATTAGCAACACACATCAACAGATGGGTCTTTAACATCATAAAACAGTTTAGAATACACATAAGCAACAATAACAAAGTAAATATCACAAATATCATATACAACATTAAATTTTAAATTACCTTAAAACAAACAATGGGTAGAAATGATTGTCGAAAAGCATCATAGACTGGCTGTTGATCATGAACAAGTCTTTGGTAAACTGCAGTAGTCTTAAGCTGATATTAGCCAGCCTGAATCCATTTCAAGTCCTTAGGTGAAGATTTCCACATGTTATTGGCTTGGAAACAAATGTGTTAAATAGAGCTTACAAAAGGGAACCTTCCAATTCTTGATGAATGCTCAACGTGCTACTAAAACCCTTTTCACATGGTGTTTTTTTTTGTCAAATTGCTCAAGTTTTATGTAAATAGAATGCAAATCCCTTAATTGTCCCACAATGGGAAATTCACTCTCCACATTTTGACCCATCCCCTTGGGGAGCAGTGTGGGGTTAAGGGTCTTGCTCAGGGTCCCAGAGTGCAGGCTGCGGGGATCGAACTGGGTACTTGCAACCTTCTCAAGCGCACTGCTCTAACCATTAGGCCAACATTTTATTGTGTTTCTACATCACAATAGTGCGTCTTTTCTCTGAAAATGAAATTGTAAAAGGAAAAAACAGGTTCCTGGGTAGAATTAATAAAAAAGATGCATAATAACCTGTATTTAGCTAGATTAATTCTAGTTGTGATCTAAAATGCCTTCAAGACGGACCTTTGGGGATAAAAACCCCATTTACAACTATCGCCATTTACATGATAATGTGGCAAATTACATACTTAGGGTCTAAGGGAATAAATGCATAAAATGACCAGTTTAAATTATAAAAACATGACTAATTGTCAAAAGTAACTGCGGTTTCCTAATCTGTTTTCTTCATGGTCTTTTTGCATTCCAGTGTCTGAGGTCATGCAAGCAGAAAAACAAAATCTGCCCATATTGACACGGCTTGGCAAGTGTGCAAGGAGATCACAATTAACACTTCATGCATTGGTCAACAGAAATGTTTTTAAAAAAAGCAATCCTGTTTTTAATTGATCATTTCCGTTTACACAATGCTTTAACTTTCAGATGTTAGAGGGAAAAAAAATAACACTGAACAAATTTCAGACATCTAAAAATTACTAGTAAGTAATAAAACAGAAGGGGGAGGATATAATCTTCCTTAATACATACAAATGTTAAAATTTCTACAAATCCTTTTACAACTTGTGCAGAATGAATCCAGTCTTCCCCCTTTCATGTGTGTTGTCTCATCAGACAGTTGGGGGCACTGTTTAACACTGAACCCTTCAACACATTCACCTCCAGACTTAGTTCTAAAGGCTCCCTGGATGTTGATGATCACATTTCTGCTTGGACTACAGCTTTTTTTCCCTCCTTTTAGCTCCCAGTAGAAATGTTTGAGCTAGTGCTAGTGGTGCCTCTTGTGTAAATTTCACTGACATTTATCACTCTTAGTCCCAGCGCTTCATCATACAAGAGTGTGCCTCTATGATGTATAGCTCGGGCAAATGACTGAGAGAGAAGCTTTCATTACGATCTGTATTTTCAAAGCCTACACTCTCGTTTGCTGACATTTCTAAAGTCTTTTGTGTAAAATGTGATTGCAGAGACAGCCCTGTGCCGCCTCCATCTGCACCCACGGAGTCTGGCCAGCTTTTCAGTATACTCCCCCCCTTTGCTTATATTTCCAGTTTCAGATGTCCAACTTTACACACACAATCCCACACAGCCCATTCTGTGAGCATTTAAATGTATCTTTTTTTACTTCAATTAATTCAACATGTACTGTAACTAAAAAAGTTTTACATTTACTCTACTGTTCATGAGATAAATCAAATTGGAATATGTGGTGCAACAGTGTATGCGCAGTCTGCATGTCCAGCTGGTTTACAAAGCAGTAATGTGATAAATAAATGATTAATCTGTTGTCACCAGAAACATAAAATATGCAGTGTTGTGCCCTGCCGAAGATGCACAAAGGATCTGGCACGGCCAGCTCTCACCTGCAGTTCCAACATTTGCACGATGGTGACATCACTGAGGGGGCTTTCAGTAGGATATAAGTGCTGCTTTAACCAGTCTTTGATGTATAATGCATGTTGGGTGATAATATGTTAGTTTATCGACTTTCTTTTCAGTCATTTTTTTTTCTATTTTCTTTTATCTGTTTTCTTTTTTTCGCTTTTTTCATTACATTGGAATAGTTTTCACAGGTTTTACCTTTTCATTTCTCCAAATTTCATCTTATTTTGCATTTCATTTTAACTGCCTCAGTATCTTCCTCTTCATCCATTGCTACTTGTTTACACCCCCATCCTCTTGAGCTCTCCAGTTCCACCTTTCATCTCTTTGCCTTTCGTCTTAATGTATTCCTCCTCGGCTTACCTGTCACCACTTGTATCTCTCATATTCGCTTTATATATGATATTTTATGACATCTCTTCGTCTTCCTTCTCGCTAAACCATTGACCTCCATTTTAGCTCTGTTGTGTTACAATACAGCGTGACTCACTATTGATGGTTTTTGGTCCATCCCAGGCGCCAAATGATCTAAACTGACCTGACATCTTTCTTGCCCCGTCTGCAGTGAATGGGACTTCGAACGAGATGATTGATTCCTTTGAGGTGAACATCACTTCGCCTGACGCCACTCAGCACCAGTTAAGATTAGATGGGGGAGGCCTCTTCCGCTTCGACCTCAGCGCATGCACTAACGCAGGTTGTGGACCTCCAGAGGCCCAGGAGTTCCGGATTCCGACTATTTCATGTGAGTAGGAAAAAAATCACTGGGGTAATCTTTGCATCTGTCTGGGTGAAAGGAAACTCAGTCATTGGTTGTGAAGTACTATTTTAAAACACATGGGGCCGGATTTATCAAGATCCAATTTTGCGGTAATTTGCTCTCGCAAACTAGAATTTTGCGCGAGGGGCTGAACCATGGTTTGCGGGTGATTTAACAAGAGTGATTGCGTAACTGGTGGCAGGTGCAAAACTGTTGGAGACGCCCTATTTAAATGATGGTTTTGCGCGTTTTGTGGTTTGCGGCAAAGTAGTTTGTAGTTTCTACAAACTAGTGCATTAAGAAATTTAAATCTTACAGTGACCCCCAACAAAAAAAAAAATGTCATGATGGGTTTCAGAGCTAGCCCAAGATGCAGAACACACACGGAGGCTGGATAAAAAGTTTAACAGAGTTTATTGTTTCACAAGCACATGAATATTGCACAGGAACTGGAACTGGTCAGGCGGCAGGTTCACTGGAGTCTGCAGAGATGATAGTTCAGTTTGCAAACGAGCTGATGAATTATGAGTCTTTGATGTTTCAGAAGAATACCTAGAAGGAGTCCGGGTTTCACTTTGAGAGAGAGAACTGTTTGTTCGGCAGAGTCCAATAATTGCTTCAGCGTCTTGCTTCTGACTTTGAGGGCAGACCTTGATCTGAGTTTCCAGCTCTTAGCCAAGAGCTGCAGGGGAATCCACAGAGGAGTCTTCAGGTTTGGCTCAAGAGGGCAGACACAGCAGGTTAAGCTCATCCAGAGCCTCAGGTAGAGACAGGATTCCTGTGAGGCAAAAAACAAGGAAGAATTAGTATCTGATCTCATCAAGAGATAGCTAAGATTCTCAGGTTTCAAGGCTCAGGTCGCTAACCAAACTAGGTCAACACTACGGTGTCGAAGCAAGGTCTGGAAGCAGGTTATATAGAGCTGGTCTTCTGATGAGGAGATGCGCCTCAGGTGTGTTGGAAGGTTCCAGCTCTGGAGGACCCACGGCGCACTCTGCTGGAGGGAGGTGGTACAGCTCCAGATCCCAACAATATATATATATATATATATATATATATATTCCCTAAGGTGGTATGTGGCTGAATTTCTACTTCACTGCAGTAAAAAAAAAAAAACAGGTGTTTTGTATTGGCCTGTAGAAAAATGCACATACCAAATGGCTCACAAGAAGTGACTGTGGATGAGATTACTACGCGTACAGTACGCATCCCCGCAGCATTGGCACGTTGCTCCACAGGCTCAGGGGGAGAACCCCGACCCCGTCGGACAGCACTTCAGACAGCACTTCTGAAAAAACGAGATTGGGAGATCCCAGCTCTCACTGCAACCGTACGCTGGAATGACCCAGATGCAAAAAAGTGCAATGTTGCAAGGAGTTTTGTGATATCTGGTATTGCATGGGTCCTCCTTGTGGCTGGCTCCAAATCTATTCTGAGTTCCCCCAACAGCTCCAAAATGGCAATGCTGGATAAACGATATGTTTTGATGATCGTTTCCTCGTTCATTCTTAAAATATTCACACGGAGTGAAAAAATGCGTTCTCTGCGTCTCCTTGCTTCATTTCAATGTCTCCTTCTTGCGACAATAATCGCTGCCATGTGTGCGCAATTACGCATACAGACCATTTGCACCTTCTTTTGAAACGTGTTAAATATAGAGTCAGATACCATTAGCAAAATTGCTTTCAGGTTTAATAAATCACTTTGCGAGTGCTAAATTAATATATTTACATGTTCTCCTCCCACAAGACGCACTTTTGCGTGTAAACGCCCCATGTTGCATATTCATTGCATAAAAAGTACTAAATGGATAAGAGGCGCTATTTAGCACCTTTTAAAGACCAAATCCTTTTAGCACGCTGTTGATAGATCAGTTTGTACATTTTTTAGCGTGCGCAGTGAAATAGCGTTTTACCTGCTGCTAATTAACAAAAGGCGAATTTGAAACGGGCATTAGTCTCTAAATCACGTTTTATTACACGCAAACCTTTGATAGATCCGGCCCATGGTCTCTTAAACAGTACACTGCAAAAACGATCTGAAAATAAGTCAAAATTTCTGAAATTTCATATTTACCCTTAATTTGAGTAGGTTGATAAGATCATTTGCCAATGGAATTTGTATTTTTTAGATAATATATACTTAAAATAAGACAATTCAGTATTTTTCTTTTCTTGTTACAAATGTAAATTGTCTTGTTCCATTGGCAAAGTGTTGAACTTACCTCCTCAATTCAAGAAAAAATGCACTCATGTTAAGAAAAAAATACCTATTATTTACATTTAAATTTTTTGCAGTGTACTATCATTTTTTGTGATATTACATTTAAAAGCTTTATTATATTAGAATCTTTTGCGATAGACCAACCTAAAGTAAATCATGATCATGAAGATAAAAAAAAAGACGAATCTTTTTGATAATCTTTTACAAATACAAGTCTGAAAGGTGTTGCATACTTATGTATTTCTACTTTAATATATGAGCAACCATTTGCTGCTTATCATCAACTTGATTTCCCAACACTGAATATTTTCAGTCTATATGCAAAACAATATTAGGTCAAAGAGAAGTAACAAACTGAAGACACCCTCTCCTATGGTAAACAATGTGACTGAAGCATTGTGTTTGGGGATATTTTTTCAGCAGGAACAAGTTCAAGTTTAGACTTTTAGATATTTTTTGCAAGGATAAAGTCAGGACGAGTTTGTTAACAGCACAACTATTACTCACTATATTCCACACACACAAAAAAAAACTTTTTACAGTGTCTTTTAACAGTGTGTCACAAACCATTAAGAGGGTACAACAAAAATATGTTGAAGGAGATGCTTCAGACAAAAATAGAACGTTTTAGCTACCGGTACATGGAATTAATTAAATGTGGTGAAAAACTATATTTCACATCCACTTCAAGATGCACTCCTTATGTAGTGATGGTTTTCTTCCATAGATACAGTGAAGCAGGTCAGAAATGATGTGTATAGATATAAGGCTTTTACAAGGACAATAGTGGAAGAAAATATGTTTGCATTAGAGAATTTACAAAATCAGCTGCAGGACTTTTTATTACTTAAACACAGTTCAATTCAACCTGCAGTGCTGTTTTATAAAGATGCTAAAATTGTATTCTTAAAATTCCCTTATTATAAGAATCTAGAAAACTACAAAGATAAAAAAAAAACATGGAGGGCATGTTTGTGTGGCAGTTAGTGCCATCGCCCCACAGCGCAAAGGTCTGTAGTTCATATAAATTATCCTCTCAACCCACATGTTTGGATTTTCTCCAGGTGCCGTTAGTTTTCTTTCCACCCAAAGTCTCATATCAGTTCAGTCCTTAGAGCCAGAAATTGAGAATTGGAGATGGTTCTTTTCCTTGGCCTTGAGGTCAAACAACTTTTCAGAAAATGTAGTAATCCTTTTCTAAAATGATCGTTCCTTTGTTTTGCTGTCAGCCTACACATTCTACAACCAGCAAATTAAATCTGAAAAAGTTCAATAAATAAAAAAATAAATTGAAGCATTTGCTTCAATTTGTAGCCAAATCAAATGGAGAAGGCTTCAATTTCCTTTTAATAAACGGTGCAAGAAAAAGAGGGCAAAATTTAATTGTGTCCTTTTTTTTGCCAGTACAAATGTTTATTTCCTGTTTGAAATTGAATTGACTTGGCCCTCAATTATTAGCCCTGCTTTGTTAAACATGTAGAATTCAAACCATTACTTTATTTGATGGACCATAACCTCCACACAGGGATGAGAATGGTGATTTGCTCTGGAGAAGCAAAAACCAAAGAAAACAACTGTTCCATCTGTTTTTGCTATTCAGAAGTGGTTGCTTTAGCCGTTGGAAAGAAAGATTTTTGTGTGTGGAAGCTGTTACAGACAAACATGTTGGTTTTTGATTTAGGTGCATTTCATGGCACATAGAGTGAAATAAACATCCTTGATGTATGCATAGAAGAAAGGTTGGCCTTCATCGATGAAACCAGCAGATGCCTCAGTTGATAACATTGCCAAAGAATATAAATGCTGGTTATGGTTGAGGTGTATTACAATACACTTTGCATAACAGTGTGTGTGGAACTGAGTAGCCGCAGACAGTTAAGGAATTTTCCTTTTTTTTTAATTAACCTTTATGTAACCAAGAAAAAAATCCCATTGAGATTAAAAACCTCTTTTTCAAGGGAGTCCTGGCCAAGAGGCAGCAAAGTTACATAATAAACAGAGATACATTAAAATAAATGACAGGTACATAAAAAACATATCAAGTAAAACTATTACAGATCATTGAGGCTGCACAAAATTGTTTCACTTTCAACTTAACAATATTTAAAGATAAAAACTCAGTCAACTTCCAGTTTCTTTGTAAAAAAAATTCCACACACAAAGAGCTGCATAGCTAAAGGCTTTCTTCCCTAGTTCTGTTGATTTGGCTGATCGTGGGATCTCAGGGCATAAGAAGCCATGCTTTTCTGTGTAAAGGCAATGGGAATGTTAACCTGTTCCCATCATGTTGCTTATCAACATTTTCAACACACGAGTACATGAGAAAAAGAACAATAAGAGAATGTGGCTTGGTCCGATGAGTTATGTCTTATTTTACACCTTGTAGATCGCTAGATGTCTATGTGTCACTTACCTGGAGAAATCATTGAACCAGGAGTTACTATAGGATGAAAATTGGCTGGCAGCTCTTTTTACACTGCTCTTCTCATAAACTTTTGCTCCTGCCATCTGTATGTTTCCCATCATGTATATGATAAATGGACAGAACTGTAATAATAGCACATTTTAACACTATTTTATTCATCCCAATCACTCAAAGTGCACTCTCACACTTACATGTCCATACATGGATATGGAGAGTGGCAGGCAATTTCAGGATAAAAGCCTTGCTCTATTGCATGTTGTCATGAAGCAGGGACGAAAGATGAAGTTAAAATAAAAAGAAGAGCATAGTAGAATTCCCCCCACCCACAAACACACAA